GCGCAGAGAGGCCGGGCCCGAGAGCGCCGGCCCGAAGGTGAGGACCCCCCGCCCCCCGCCCCCCCGCGTACCTGGCGCGTCCCGGGAAAAGCTGGAGCAGCCTCGAGGCCTCCGGGCTCCCCGTCGCCGGCGCTCGGGCCACGGAGAACCTGCTCGCGCCCGACCTGCCGCCCGGGGCGGGGGGCGGCCCGGGTTCTCCGGTCAGGGCCCCGCGGCCAAGCCGCCCGTCGTCCCGCAGCGCCCCCGAGCGCCGCCGCCCTGGCCCCGGCCCCTCCGCGTGAACCGCACCACGGCCGCAGGGGATGCCGCAGAGGCGGGGGCGCAAAGCCGCCCAGCCCCGGAACCCTGCGCGGTCTCCACCGCCGCGCTCCGTTTTGTTCTGAAGGATTTACTTATCTTGGGCCTCCCCGGTGGCGCAGCGGTTGAGCGCTGGGTTGCGAAGCTGCCCGCGGCCTCTGCGGCGCCGGTTCGATCCCCGGCTGCTCCCCGGCCACCGGAGGAGGGTCCCACATGGCGCGCAGACCTCTCCTGCCGCCCGCTGCTCCCCTCAGCAGTGTCCTTCGGTCCCCCTGCCTGCTCTGCTCCCCGCTCTGGCTCTGGTGAATTCTCTCACCCTCCCGCGCTTCTGACTGTACCCAGTGCCTGTATAAATAAATAAATAAATCTTAAAAAAAAATTTACTTATTTTTCACATACAAGAGCTGGGGTACAGGCCAGAGGTGCAGGGGTGAGAGGATTCACTAGAGACAGAGTGGGGAGCAGAACAGGCAGACTGACCGAAGTACACTGCTGAGGGGAGCAGCAGGGGAGACAGGAGAGGTCTGCAGCGCCATGTGGGACCCTCCCTGGCCAGCCGGGATCAAACCCGCGCTGCAGAGGCTGCGGACAGCTTTACAGTGCTGCACTCAACCACCGGCACCACCAAGGAGGCCACCCCCTTTTTCTAAAAAGGTTTATTTATGCATACAGGAGGTGGGGTACACGCCAGAGGTGGGGGGTGGGTGAGAGGAGTCACCAGAGACAGAGTGGGGAGCAGAACAGGCAGACTGACTGAGATACACTGCTGAGGGGAGCAGCGGGGAGACCGGAGAGGTCTGCTGCGCCATGTGGGTAGGTCCCTGGCCGGGGATCGTACTCGTGCTGCAGTGGCTGCAGACAGCTTCATAGGTTGCGTCTTAACCCCTTGCGCCACCGGGGAGGCCCAAAATGAAAACAATTTTTAAAAGCACAAAGAGAGAGAAGACAAGATCAAATGAGAGATGTAATTTTAAAAAAGGGAAGCTCAGATGCGTGCGGTTGTAAATCATGAAGTTTCAATATTTTCCATTCTACTCATGGGGTGCAAGTGGGAACCAGAAAGCAACAAAACAATTGGAGTCTCTGAACTTAAAAAATTAAAAGTTCTTAGTCCTTGAAAGCAGAGGCAGGAGAATTGGGAAATTCCTGTGGGGGGATAATGACCCAGAAGAAACAGCTTAACAGGCCCCCAAGGCTGATACCGCCCTCCCCACCCCCCCCTCCCCCCACAGTGAGGCAGGGCTGCTGCTGGCAGCGCCAGCAGGAGCTTCCAATCCACACTGCCCGCCTCACTTTACGGAAGAACAGTCAGGATCATCAGAGGAGTGAAGGAAACCCCAGATGTTAAAGACAGAAGCCAAATGACACAGAACCTGGAGGGCAACAGATAATGAAAGGAACAGAAGAAAAGGTCTAATGAACAAAAATAACCAACATCCTCAGAAAAATAAGAGAGGGGCCTCCCTGGCGGTGCAGGGGTTATTCTCAGCACTGTCAAGCTACCGCCAGCCTCCGCAGCATGAGTTCCATCCCCAGTCAGGGAGAGTCCCACAGGGCGCAGCAGACCTCTCCTGACTCGCCCGCTGCTCCCCTCAGCAGTGTGTTTGTCTGTCTGTTCTGCTCCCCACTCTGTCTCTGGTGACTCCTCTCACCCCCCCACCCCCACCCCCCGCATCTCTGGCCTGCGCCCCAGCTCTTGTATGCATAAATAAACAAATCTTTAAAAAAAGTGAAAAGTCAGAAATAGGGAGAACACATTTGCAAATATATATAACCAGTAGTGATTTAGTATCAAGAAGTTAAAGCCAACCCCAAACAATTCAAGACAACCCCAAAAATGGACACAATGAATGCTGAGACATTTCACAAAAATGGAAACTCCAGACCTCAAAATACACAGGGTGACCCATCTCCGCAGTGATCGCCTGAGGTCACGAGCCATCACCTGGGCCTGGGGGCGGCAGACACGCCCGCCCTGGCGAGGATGTGCCGCGGGTTCCCACTTGGCGGAGGGCACACTCCTACCTTGGGGAGCACTGCAGGGCGCCCCCCCAACCCCCCGCGACACAAACAGGGCCCATGGCAAATGGGCGCAGCGCCCGGGCCCTGCTGACCGGCCGGTGTCCCTCCGTTGGCCGCCCGGCCTCGCTCCAGCAGCGCCTGCTCTTCCCAGCTGGCTCCCGGCTGCTCCCGCGCAGGGCGCCCCGCGGAGGCGCTGGAGACGCGCCCAAAGGGCAGCGCTGGGGACCGCGCCAGGCCCGTCGGGCGCCAGCAGATCCCCGGCCGGGGCAGATTCGCGCCTCCGACCCTGCGAGCCTCCCTCGGGCAGGATCCGCTCGCTGGAAGCGCCAGCCAGCCGGGAGGGCTGCTCCTGGAGTGGCGCGAAGCCTGGACGCGGGCCCCAGCCAGACCCTGCGATGGACCCCCACCCCGCCCCCACCCCGCGGTCCCGCGCGGGCTCGGGCCTGTCCCCGGCCGCAGCGCGCAGCCTCCCAGGGGCCGGGCTCAGGCGGACGCTGGGCCTCAGCGCGGGCTCTTCCCAGCTGCGGCCCATCAGGGCGCGAACAGTCCTTGGTCTGAGAGGACACAAGCCGGCACCACCCAGTCCCGCAGCTCACAAACCCTGAGCGCCCCGGGGACACCGTGTGGGCCTGTCCCCAGAGACTCCGGGCAAGTGGGCCTCCCGCCCGGGCAAGGGGCTCGGTCTCAGCGCTGAAGCTGTCGCAGCCTCTGCAGCACGAGTTCGATGCCCCGCTAGGGAGTTACCTTCATGGCACAGCAGACCTCTCCTGTCTCCCCGCTGCTCCCCTCAGCAGGCCACTTCAGTAGATCTGCCTGTTCCGCTCCCCACTCTCTCTGGTGCGTCCTCGTCCTCTCACACCCCACACCTCTGCCCTACACCCCAGTTCTTGTACCCATAAAAAAATCTTCAGGGGCCTCCCCGGTGGCGCAGCGGTTGAGCGCTGGGTTGCGAAGCTGCCCGTGGCCTCTGTGGCGCCGGTTCGATCCCCAGCTGCTCCCCGGCCACCGGAGGAGGGTCCCGCATGGCGCGCAGACCTCTCCTGCTGCCCGCTGCTCCCCTCAGCAGTGTGCTTCGGTCCTTCTGCCTGCTCTGCTCCCCACTCTGGCTCTGGTGAATTCTCTCACCCTCCCGTGCTTCTGACTGTACCCAGTGCTTGTATAAATAAATAAATAAATTAATTAAAAAAAAAAAAAAATCTTCAGGAAAAAAAAAACCGGGCCTCTCCGGTGGCGCAGTGGTTGAGCGCTGGGTTGTGAAGCTGCCCGCAGCCTCTGCAGCGCCAGTTGGATCACCAGCCGTGGGGCGAGGGTCCCACATGGCGCGCAGACCTCTCCTGCCGCGCCTGCTGCTCCCCTCAGCAGTGAATTTTGTCAGTCTGCCTGCTGTTCCCTGCTCTGGCTCTGGTGAATCCTCTCACCCTCCCGCACCTCTGACTGTACCCAGTGCTTGTATAAATAAATAAATCTTTAAAAAAAGAGAAAACCCCGGAAGCAACAGGGACAGGGCAGCCCATGGACCAGCATGCACAGCGCCCGGGAACTTGGCTGCGCCCAGACACCCAGATCTGTTAAAAAAGCACCCCCAGAAGGCTCAGTGTAAGGCTGTTTTTTATCGAGTTTGAAAACAAGGACGAGACATGTGGTCAGGAATCTGCGCCTGGGTGAGGAGACAGGCAACAGGTCACCGCAGAGCACACGCGGCCCACGCGGGGCTCTGGGTACCCTAGGGTGCCTGCGTGAGGAGGGCCTTCCAGTCTCCCCTGGACAGTGGTTTCAGCGTGTCCCTCCACTTCGTGATGTACATCCAGGTCACGTGCTTCTTGTGTCCAACATTAGGTCTTGGAAGATGCAAAGGGCCCCACATGCACCCTCTGACCTCGCGGTCGAGGCAGACCTCCCCCTTGGGGTCAGCCTGCCTGTGGTCTCCCCACGGGAGACCTCTTTTTATTTTTTATAGAGGAATGTTTTTTACTTATTTATTTGTTTGTTTATACAAGCACTGGGTACAGTCAGAAGCGCGGGAGGATGAGAGAATTCACCAGAGCCAGAGCAGGGAGCAGAGCAGGCAGAGGGACCGAAGTACACTGCTGAGGGGAGCAGCGGGCGGCAGGAGAGGTCTGCGCGCCATGTGGGACCCTCCTCCGGTGGCCGAGGAGCAGCCGGGGATCGAACCGACGCTGCAGAGGCTGTGGGCAGCTTCGCAACCCAGCGCTCAACCGCTGTGCCACCGGGGAGGCCCTCCATGGGAGACCTCTTATCTCCTCCCCTCTATTTCCTGCCAGGGCTGGCCAGGCTGACCTACTCTCCTATGAGGACACTCTGCTCTGGTGACTGCACACCCCCTTTTCTCCCCAGGCAGCTGCCCCCTCACAGAGCTCAAATGTCACCCCCCCAAGGCCTGCCAGGGGCTGCGCAAGTCTGGTGCCTTCTCGAGTTTACAGCCTTGTTCAAACCTCTCTCTGGTGTAAATCAGAAGGGTGTGGTCATACTTGTCCACCCCAAAGTCCGAGGCCAGCACAGCGTCCCCTCACCTCACGGCCTAGGGCCTACAGCAAAGGGGTGGCCTGCAAACTGCCCCGGCCAGCGATGGGAGCGGCCGTCAAGGTCAGGACTTGGCCGGCAGCAGAGCAGAGACGGACGGGGAGGCTCCCTTGGCACCGCCGCTCTCCTGGGCAAGGTGACCACATGGAGCAGAAGAGAAAAGTCACCAAGCTTTATTCAGGCTTAAGGGTCTGACCCTACACCCGCCCACCCTGTGCACCCCAGAGCTGGCTCGACCACAGAGCCCTCCAGTCTCACTTCTTGTCCTCCTCCTTCTTGTCCTTCTTGCCTTCCTTGGTGGCCTGGGAGGCCAAGGAGCCCATGGCATTTCGAATGGCCTCATTATTGGGATCCACGCCCGGAAGGTTCTCCAGGACACTCTGAAGGAACTCGGGGTCCTGCATCACATCATAGTCATCCTCCTCCTGAAAGAGGCCAGCGTCAGTGGGGCAGGGGGCGGCCGCAGGTTGGAGGCCAAGGTCATGAGCTCGCTGCCGCCTGAGGCCCCTCCACATGACTGTGTGGGTGTGGGGGCACCTCTGGCCCAAGGGGGGGCTACTGGAAACAGCGCAGCCGCGGTGGTACGAACGCAGCCGTTGTTGCTGGCCAGAGACAGAAGCCTGCGGACGCTGCTGCCTGAGCTCAGGATGAAGACAGATGCCGTCACCCCCCAGGCCCGGGACCAGACACCGCACCTTTTACCCCGAAAGATGCCCCAGGGGACTGTCCAGCCCCTGCCCTGCAGCAAGGCTGGCGCACAAAGGTGTGCATCTGTGCTGGTCCCCGCAGATGCTCAAGGAGCTCATCGTGACAACCCTGAGGAGGGGCCTGGGCTAGAGGCTGAGGAGCAAGGGGAGCACAGACTGGGGGGTCACCTTGGCTGGCTCAGACGTGTCCATGGCGGAACTGGCGTCGGCGTCGGCTGACTCTGCCTGGCCAAACTCTGAGGAAGAGAGGGCATCTGCTCAGACCCACGCCCCGCCCGGCGGCCTGCGCGCATGCCCCACCCGGCGCACCTACGCCCTGCAAGGACATCTGCATGGCGTAAGCGATCTGCTCCTCTTCCGTCATGCTGCTGAGGTCGGGGAGCCCGGCGCGGCCAAACTCCTGCTGGCTGATGGTCATCTTCAGCAGTGCGTCGTCCGAGTCTACAGGGAGGAGAGCTGCAGGGTAGTGGGGTGCCCTGTTCCACACTGGCCCATCGCCTCCACCGTTCCACCACCGACACAGGCTGCGCCCCACACACTGGGGCCCGGAACTTGAGACTCCACCTCTTTCACCTTCAGTCCCGGGGGTAGGGATGCCCGCCTCGGCTGCGGAGGCTGCTGCTGCCCGCCGCGCTTCCTCCTCCTGCCGCTGCCTTTGCTCTTCCATGGAAACGCGGAGAGCCTGGCGAGGGGGCCAGGTCAGGCTCCAGCCTCCTGGCCACCAGGCACCAGGGGCTGGGGAGTGGCTGGGGGGTAGTTGGGGGGGGGGCCCGTTTCTGTTTTGGTTTTTTTAAAAAGATTGATTGATTTTTTGATTTATACAAGCACTGGGTACAGTGGGAAGCGCGGGAGGGTGAGAGAATTCACCAGAGCCAGAGCGGGGAGCAGAGCAGGCAGAAGGACCGAAGTACACTGCTGAGGGGAGCAGCGGGCGGCAGGAGAGGTCTGCGCGCCATGCAGGACCCTCCTCTGGTGGCCGGGGAGCAGCCGGGGATCGAATCAGCGCCACAGAGGCCGCGGGCAGCCTCGCAACCCAGCACTCAACCGCTGCGCCACCGGGGAGACCCTCCGTTTCTGGTTTATGCCTATGGGGAAGCAGCAGGCAGAGGCCATGCAGGAGAAAGGAGGGCCTGAGAGGAGCCTGGGGGTTCACCAGAGGCAAGGAGCGTGGCCCTGGCACACCCAGAGACTGGCCAGAACTACGGGGGGGGGGGGCGCAGAGGAGAGCCTGGGAAAACGAGCAAGGGTGCTGAGGCCTGTCTGGACCAGAGAGCCGAGGGACGCATCAGTCAGCAGAGGAGGCCCAAGAAGGCCCCAGCGCAACACTTGCTCACCAGGGCCAGCTCTGGGTCCGCGCTGGGGTCCACTCCAAACTCAAAGTCACTGGCGCCAAGACCCAACATGGCACCGCCTTCACCAGCCAGAATGGGAGAGCTGATGAGGGCATCGGCCAGGCTGGGCCCAGGGGGCACCGTCACCAGGTGCGAGCCCGTCCCATCCTTGCCATTCAGCGTGTTCACGAAGGCCGTCAGCTTCTCCGTGTTCACCTCCTGCGGGCAGGACACAGCAGGGGCGCCTTCCATGTGCCCCTCTCTGCACCCCGGTTCCCGCCTGCAGCTGATCTCCCACAGCACAGCCCCCCCCCCCCCAGGGCTGCCTGTGGAGCCGCGCCTCCCCACCCTCACTCACCTCCTCTCCGAAGTTGATAATGTCCACATTCACCTTCTCCTTCTTGAGGCGCTTCGCCAGCTTCACCAGCTGGTGAGGGGAGATGAGGCCGTCTGTCCGTGCGCCGAGGGGGGCGACACACCACACCAGGCACACGAGGTCAGCTGGCCCACAGCGCCCCCACAAAGAGCCGATCCGGCCTGGCTCCAGCGATGAGCCCAGCGCCTCTGCCCGGCTCTCGCACGCGGGGCCCCCTCCCCGCACCCCACCCACCCTGAGCGCAGCTGTGGACTCACGTCCTTCTCGTTGTCCTCCACGGGGCTGCCCACGAAGGCCACGATGCGCATCTTGTGGTTCTTGCCCTGCCGGTGCTTCAGGGCCAGCTGGTGGCGGAGGGGGACCCTCAGGCGGCAGCCAGCGCCCAGCTTGCTCCGCTCCGTTTCCCTTCCCACGCTCCTGCCACCCCAGCCCACCTGCGTGCGCAGGGTCTAGGCCCCTCCCTCCCCTGGGCCTCACTGGGGATGTCTCTCCGGAGTCCCCACCAAGTGTGGGGCTCACCCCCTGCTGCTCTCCCTCAGCTCAAGGCCACAGGGAGAAGCGAGCGAGGCGGACAGAACCTCGGAGCGCGGGGACAAAAAGCGGACTCACATGGGCCACGCGGATGCCAGTGCAGAAGGTGATCTTGCCCTTGGGCTGGACAGTGTGCAGCTTGGACAGGATGCGGCCGGTGTCGGGGGTGAGTGTGGTCAGCACTTCGCAGTCACTGGGGCGTGGGGAAAGCAGGGGTGACTCGGGTCAGGACAAGTGCCGGACTGCGCCGACGCGGGGCGTTCTGGAGCTCCCCCGACAGCTACAATCTCGGCTTTTCCTGAGCAGCCGCCGCTCACAGAGCGCACCGTAAGTTCTCACCCCGAGGAAAACAGTAACTGCAAGGTGCTGGCTGTGAGCTGAATTTAGGGGGCGACACATGCATGTGTCAGGCCACGACGCCAGTCGCTGCCAGCGCACGCACCGTGACCGATCAGTGCCATCACAACAAAACCGGAAAAACCACTGGCCGCTGCGCAGAACCTGCGCCCAGGAAATGAGCTGACTTTCTAGGGGACCTGCCCCTCCCCAGCGGCCCCACCTCTGGTGCACAGATCCTCAGCCTGCTCGACAGGAGGTGGATGCACCAAGATTCTCCCCACACGCCTCACTTCTAGGCCCACTTTGTAACTGACATGGACACGGCCGGCCCCCAAGAGCACAGGGTTCACCTGCACGCAGACCTCAGGGCGCGGCAACCGAGGCGCAGTGAACGCAGCGGCCTCGCGCGCTCCCTCTTCCTTAAGGTTTCAACATCTCTCTCCGCGCGCTCACTCTGCCCTACGAGCACAGCGCACAACGCAGGGAGCACACAAGCATGTTCACTCTCAGGCCCCTGCAGGCCGCCCACTGACAGCTGCCTGGGAGGAGCTAGGCCTGGGGGAGGCAGAACTTGCAGGCAGATTTGCCACCGAGTGGGAGCAGCGCGGGTGGCCCACTGGACGGGGGAGGTGACTCATTGGAGCTTTGTCCTAAAACAAATCGCTCCTGGTAACAAGCTGGGCGCCGTGCACTGGGGCTGTGAACCAAACTGGCTGTAAAGTACACTGAGGTCCGCCCTGGAGACTCAACTTCCTAACCGTAGCCGGCCAGGTTGATCTCAAAACCAAGTTGCGGCTTTTAGTCACACTGAAGAGTGAAGGACGCTGTCTAGGACCGTGACAGGCAAAAGCAGCCTTCCAGAACCTATAAAGGGTGACCACCAGGACACCACAGAGGGTCAGTAGGGGGAAGCCACCCACCCACCGACCAAGCCCTGCCCTGTGCCCCACATACTTAGCCAGTGTGATGAGGCCCACGTTGTTCTCAGGGTTACTGCGGGTCTTGGAGTGACAAACTATGTTGACGGCATCCTGCTGGGCCTGCAGCCGGGTGGGCAGGAAGTCCCCATTGCGCATGTACTCACTGTTGTCCACACTGGGGGAGGGGAGGAGAGGGAGATGCACTGTAGGGCCTCCCAGACCCGGGGCTCCCTCCCGCCAACCGCTCTCCTGCCAGGGTACTGGGATGATGGAAGTGGTGCCAGTCTTTGTGGAAGACAGAATCACCCGTGTGTATATACACACGTTTTAAAAAATTTAAATACATAGGTAACCAGGCCTGCCCCGGACTTACCTACTCAAAATGACCAGAGTTAAAAAAGAAAATCTTTAATCTCTACCACGGATTCTGACCAGCACCGAAGGCTACAATCTGCTGATGGCCCGCGGCCACCTCCACAAGCTGCATGTAAGCATCACTATGAACGAATGAACTTCTTAGTCCGCCGTTAAAACTAAGAGTATTCCAAAGGTAGGAAAGGTGATAACTCGAAGATACTTCTAGGGGGCCTCCCTGGGGGCGCAATGGGTGAATACGCAGCACTATGAAGCTCTGGGCAGCCACTGCAGCATGAGTTCCATCCCCAGCCAGGGAGCTACCCACATGGCGCAGCAGTGTGTAGCTCCCTGTCTCCCTGCTGCTCCCCTCAGCAGTGTTTCAGAAGATTTGCTTGTTCTGCTCCCCACTCTGTCTCTGGTGAAACCTCTCACCCCCTGCAACTCTGGTCTACACCCCAGCTCTTGTATGCATAAATAAATAAATCTTTAAAAGATAACACATATGCCTGGACTTCCCTGGCTGGGAATCTGACTCAGCAGATTAAGTCGAGTCAAATACCTGGCATTATAATAAGCCCCTCCAGGGAATTCAGATACACAGTAAAGCTAAGACATACAGGAAAGAAAGGAGGGGCCTTGCTTGCACTATTCCCATAGGCCACCTGTGCGACTCCAGATCTAACCTTTCCCCCACACAAGGCAGGTCAATAGTTTTTTTTTTTTTAAGATTTATTTATGTATTTATACAAGCACTGGGTACAGTCAGAAGCACGGGAGGGTGAGAGAATTCACCAGAGCCAGAGCAGGGAGCAGAACAGGCAGAAGGACCGAAGGACACTGCTGAGGGGAGCAGCGGGTGGCAGGAGAGGTCTGCGCGCCATGTGGGACCCTCGCCTGGCAGCCAGGGATCAAACCAGCGCTGCAGAGGCTGAGGGCAGCTTCACAGCCCAGCGCTCAACTGCTGAGCCACTGGGGAGGCCCAATATTCTTTTTTTTTTTTTTAACATCTTTAGTAGACTTCTTTTTAAAAACACTTATTTATTTATGCATATAAGAGCTGGGGTACAGGCCAGAGATGTGGGGGGTGAGACGATTCACCAGAGACAGAGCGGGGAGCAGAACAGGCAGACTGACCAAAGTACACTGCTGAGGGGAGCAGCGGGGAGACGAGAGAGGTCACTTCGCTATGTGGGTTGTTCCCTGGTTGGCCAGGGATTGAACTTGTGCTGCAGAGGCTGTGGATTGCTTCATAGTTGGTGCTTAACCCCTTGTGCCACCAGGGAGGCCAGATCAATATTCTTTTTTTTTTTTTTAAACATATATATATTTTTAAATTTTATTTATTTATATAAGCACTGGGTACAGTCAGAAGCGCAGGAGGGTGAGAGAATTCACCAGAGCCAGAGCGGGGAGCAGAGCAGGCAGAAGGACACTGCTGAGGGGAGCAGCGGGCGGCAGAAGAGGTCTGCGTGCCATGTGGGACCCTCCTCCGGTGGCCGGGGAGCAGCCGGGGATCGAACCGGCGCTGCAGAGGCCGCGGGCAGCTTCGCAACCCAGAGCTCAACCGCTGCGCCACTGGGGAGGCCCAGAGATCAATATTCTTAAACGCAATTTGTACACAGCTTTGTCTCCACCTCCTCCCCCTTATTAAAGGGTACTGGGAAGAACTCCTTATTCAGCCAGATAGTTGTGGTTTCTACCTGGTGCCATCTTGTTTATGCCCAGCCCATACCACCTTTGTCTAAGTCCTTTCAAACACCCTTCAAATTCTCTTTTGGAGATTTCTCAAGCGCGCGCACACACATGCACACACACACACACACCCCCCTATAAAGCAAGTGAATACTAATGTTTTAAATGTGACAATCTCAAAAACCTGCAGTACCAGAAAAGACAGGTTTGTGGATTCCAAGTCCTGACCTATTTCTACTCTAACATGCTCTGTCCCATGTTACAGACTTAGCAAATAAAAATACTGGCCTGGGCACCCCTGTGTCCTACGGGTTAAGTCTGAGTGCTGTCACAGCTATTGCCTGAGTTTGATCCCTGGCCAGGGAGATGACCCACATGGCGCAGCAGACCTCTTCTGTCTCCAGGCTGCTCCCCTCAGCAGTGTATTTCAGTAGATTCGCCTGTCTGCTCCCAGCTCTGTCTCTGGTGAATCCTCTCACTCCCCACACCTGTGGCCTGTGCCCCAGTTCTGGTATGCATAAATAAATAAATAAATCTTTAAAAAAAAAAAAAAAAACAAAAAAAAAACACTGGAAACAAACACTGGCAAGAATGTGGAGAGAATGTGTGGCTCCTCCAGCACTGATGGGAGGGTACCCTGGTGCCGCCTCTACAGAAAACGGTTTAGAGTCCTCAAAAAAAAAAAAAAAAGTAAATATAATGTGACCCAGCAATTCCACTGCTACGTATTTACCCAAAGAATATGAAAACACTAACATGAAAAGATTTATGCCCTCCCGTGTTCACAGCAGCATTATTCCTAACAGGCAGATCAAGGAGCCAAACTAAATGTCCATTGACAAATGACCCGGTGAAGAGATTATGAAATACACACACAAAGGAACACTGCCCAGCTATTCAAGAAGATGAAATAGTGCCTCTGGGGACAAAGTGGATGGATCTTAAGTTGATTACGGTAAATAAAATAAGTCAGAAAATGAAATACAGTTACTGGACTGTTCCCCTGATTTGTAGGATACAAATAACCAAAGAAAACAAACTGGAAAAACAACAGAAACCATTCTTGGACTCTGTGAAACACAAACTGACTACCCGAGGGGACAGGAGGGGAGGTGATGAGGTACTGGCACTGGCTTTTATTATTTCCCCAAACACACATTTTAAAAGGACCGACTTATTAGGAAAAGGAGAAAGGAAGAGCGCGGCAGCGGCAGAGCCACAGGCCGGCGGCGCTGGCTTTGGGCGGCGGGCGAGCGAGGCAGGTGCGCAGAGGCGGTGGGAAGCTGCCCTCCCCACAACTGTAGGGTGATGCAAATGATGGCAAAGCAGTGAAATGTGGGCGAGCGAGCGAGCCGGGCTAGGTCGCGCGATACGAGCCTGAGTCCTAGCGCCTTGGATTAAAATCTTGGCTCCAGATGAGCCGTGCGGCTCCGAGTAAGTCCCCCGAGATGCCGCGCGCGGCGGCCTCCCCGCACAGGGCAGGCCGGGCCCTCGCGGCGCCGCGGACTGAAGCGACCGGGGAGAGGACGGGCCATGGGGGCCAACTCCCGGCCGAGGCGGGACGACCCGGGGGGTGGGCCCAGCAGAGGCGGGCGGGAGCACGACGGGCCGGGGAGCCCGACATCCGAACACAGGCGTCCGGAGGCGCCGCCGCTGGAAGGGGCCGGGCCGCGGGTCGCGGGCGCCGGCCTGTCCCGCCCCCGCGATGACTCAGGGAGTTGACCGGGCGGGCTCCCCCCGGGCCAAGCCCGCTCGCCGGCGCCCGCCAGCCCCAGGCCCGCTCGCCCCCGCGCCCCGCGCGCCCCCGCCCCGCCCCGCCCGCCCGCCACGGGCCCCCAGGTAGCCGCTCACCAGACCATAGTGCTCTCCAGCACCATCTTGCCACCTTCCTCCCTCCCGGCCGCCTCTTCGCGACAACTAACAACGGCGCTTCCGATTGGCCCGGCGCCCCTCACCAATCCCGGGCCTCGCGCGGCCACTGGTCCCGCCCGCTTCCGCCCCGCTGCCTGCTGGGAGCTGTAGGCGCCGCCCAAAGTAAAGAGCTGCTGCTGAGGTCCCGCCCACTTCCGCCCCGCTGCCTGCTGGGAGCTGTAGGCGCCGCCCAAAGTAAAGGGCAGCTGCTCTGAGGTCCCGCCCACTTCCGCCCCGTTGCCTGCTGGGAGCTGTAGGCGCCGCCCAAAGTAAAGGGCTGCTCTGTGGGCGGTGTTGGGGGCGTGGGGGGCGCGAGGGCCCGCGGCCGCCGACCCCCGCTTGCGCTGCTGCTGGTCCCGGGGCAGCTGGGAAGGAGCGGTTGAGTCTCCTGGGGATGCTCTACCGCCGTCTGTCAGAGTGGCGGGCTCGCTGATGACGTTCCAGCTCGCTCTGTTCCCCGTCGCACTTGGTCGCTCTAACTACGAAGCCCTTGGCCCCCTGAATTGCGTTTTTATCTCTGTATTTCGCTCTCCCACTTAATTAAGAGCCGAAAAGGTGTCTCAATCTGCAGTTCCCTAGCCTGGCCCATGGTGGGAAACCCAGAGCAGGGTTGAGGAGTTATTTTAGCTAATCCACCAAAGAACCGCAGACAAATCATTAAACCATTCTGGTTTGCTAATCAAGAAAAACATTCAAAAATTTGGATTACACTTAAGTAAAACTGGCGGCCCTAGGTCTGCAGGGAAGGGGAGAGAGGAGCGAGGCTACACAGCACCATATGGAGTCGAGGGAGAGGAATGTCCTAGGTGTTACGGAGATGTTGGTAAAGTTTTAATGCATGTGTTCAAAAGTATCCATTACAACTTGTGTAGGAGTAAAATTTCTGTCTCACTAAAGGGAAAACAATCTGTCTATAACCAAAACAGGAAAGGGGGGGATGGTAAGAATGCATAGAAAAACAATCAGTGACAACGTCAAACATAAACAAAACATTTTAAAAACAATAATTATGTTTTTAAAAAAACAGGTACACAGTATAGAGACACCAAACGAAGTGACAATAAAAGGTAAAAATAAAGGGGGAGGGACAAATAGTGCAGCAGGCAGGGGTATTAAGAGGAAGCACATGTAGCTGTATTAATATTGTGCAAAATAGAAACCAATACAAATTGTTGAAATCAGGTCAAATATTCCATAAATTAATTTCACAATAATTCTTAAAATTGATGAAATTTCACCACCAGCAAAAAAAAAAAAAAAACAAAAAAAAAAAAAACAACTCTGGGCTCATCAGGAACTGCACCTCCAAAAACAAGTTGAACACCCCACATAACTATATGTTAGTATTCTAGTCAAAGCAGAAGTAAACACACATTCAGCCCAAACAGGAACAAGGAACTGAGTGGACACTGTTCCGGGAAAACAAGGTCTAGGATGCCTGTGTAAGGAGGCGTCAACTTCTCAGCTTTAGAAATCAGTGGGGATATTGCAGAGGATACAAAATATATCAACATTTCAAAAAAGTGACAAGTGGGTCCTATATGATTGACTTGATTTAATCTGGAGGACAGAAAACTAATATTCTTCAAATAGTGAAGACATCCCTATAGAACTGTCAGGAGCTTTTCACTTAAGAGGGAGTTACAACAACACACACAGAAGATGACATCTGATAGAATCACATTTTAGTAAAGCAAGAGCAACTATAATGGAAAAAGGAAAGCAAAAACACATTTACCTGTGGGTCAGGCACTATTTGGAGCCTTTGGAAGGAAACGCAACAAAATCCTGCCACTGTGGTGCTTACATTCTGTGGGGGAAGGCAGACAAGAAGTCAAGAAGTGATGTGCTTTCTGTTGTACACAAATTCTATTTACAGAAGATACTGGGGAAGCCTTGCCTCTGAACAGAGGTCTGAAGGGGACCTGGAGGAAAGAGCAATTGCAAATTCCTCAGATAAGAGCATGTTTAAGAACCAGGGGGTCACAGAGCCTGGAGTTCAGGGACAGAAACGAGGCCAAATAGGCAACAGGAGTGAAGAAGCCAGGTCGTGTACAGCCTCATGACCATTTTAATTATAGAGGGAGGTAAGAAGCCCCTGGACATTTTTAGCAGAGGATTGACAGGCCCTGGCCCAACAGGACCACTGCGGCTGCTGCTTTGGGAACAGACTGGGGAAAAGAACAGGAAGGGCCATGAGGAGACTGCCTCAGGGGCCGATTAGGATGGTGGTTTATTTTTGGACCGAAGAAGAGGCGAAAATGGTTACATCTGCCTGGATTTTGAGTTAACCGTTATCCACAGTTTTGTTACTCACAGGGAAGTCTGGTCTGCAAATACATACCACCTTCCTGTCGCTTTGATTACAGCCAGTACACTTCGGATGGGATGCTGACAAGTCAAGTGAGATGAGGGCTGATACACTTAGCAACATGCAGGACACCCCTGATCTTAAGAGATGTTTTGGCCAGGTGGTGGGGGAAAAAAACTTGGAAGATCAAGAAACTCATTTGTAAGACAGTTTGCTGATTTTGAACACTGATGGGCTATCTACTATTAAGGAATCTAGTGTTTTATTTTAGGCACAACAATGGTGTTAGTTATAAAGAGTCTTATCTCTTCAGTTATATGTTGAAGTATTTATGGATGAAAGGCTGTGATGTCTGGGATTTATTGTTACTTAATCCTCTCGAAGTATAGAAAGTGGGGGTTGAGTAGAATGTATAGATGAGGGCCTCCCCTGGTGGCACAGCGGTTGAGCGCTGGGATGTGAGGCTGCCCACCGCCTCTGCAGCCCCAGTTCAATCCCGGCCACAGGCGAGGGTCCCACATGGCGCGCAGACCTCTCCTGCTCCCCTCAGGAGTGTATTTCGTCAGTCTGCCTGTTCTGTTCCCCGCTCTGGCTCTGGTGAATTCTCTCAGCCTCCCTGCTTCTGACTGTACCCAGTGTTTGTATAAATAAATCTTTTAAAAAATTTTAAAAAAAGAAAGTATAGGTGAGACGGATTGGTCTTATTTATGTTAATAACTTTAAAAAAATTTATTTATTTATACAAGAGCTGGGGTACAGGCCAGAGGCGTGGGAGGGTGAGAGAATTCTTCCGAGACAGAGCGGGGAGCAGAACAGGCAGATGGACCCAAGACACTGCTGAGGGGAGCAGCGGGGGAGGCAGGAGAGGTCTGTTGCGCCATGTGGGTTTCTCCCTGGCCGGCCAGGAATCGAAACTGCGCTGCAGAGGCCGCAGACAGCTTTACAGCATGGTGCTCAATCCACTGTGCCACTGGGGAGGCCCTATGTTAACTATTGAAGCCGCTACAAGGCAGTTAGCTCTACTACTCAACTTTTGTTCTAGACTTTCCACAATAAAATATAAAAAAAGAGAGAGCGAGAGAAAGAGAAGGGAGAGAAGCTAGAAAGATTAAGCAGAGGAAAGACTTAAAAAATTTTTTAAAAATTTGCCTATATATTTTTTTAAAGATTTATTTATACAAGCACTGGGTACAGTCAGAAGCCGGGGAGGGTGAGAGAATTCACCAGAGCCAGAGCGGGGAACAGAACAGGCAGACTGAGGAAGCACACTGCTGAGGGGAGCAGTGGGCAGCAGGAGAGGCCTGCGCGCCATGTGGGGCCCTCGCCCACGTGGCTGGGGATGGAACTGGCGCTGCAAAGGCCAGGGGCAGCTTCGCAACCCAGCGCTCAACTGCTGCACCACCAGGGAGGCCCCTATATATATATTTTAAGATTTATTTATTTATTTATGCATACAAGAACTGAGGTACAGGCCAGAGGTGCGGTGTGTGTGTGAGAGGATTCACCAGACAGAGTGGGGAGCAGAACAGGCAGACTGACTGAAATCCACTGCTGAGGGGAGCAGCAGGGAGACAGGAGAGGTCTGCTGCACCATGTGGGTTGCCCCCTGGCCACCGGGGATAAAACTCAAGCCGCAGTGACTGCAGACAGCTTCATAGGTTGTGTCTTAACCCCTTGCGCCACCAGGGAGGCCCTGCCTGTTTTCTTTCACTTTTTTCTTCCAAGATGTCTTGTACATATACATTAGAATAATTGCAAAAGAAAAAAACATACAGCAGATGACAGAGCTGCTTTTTGTGTCCTTGAAACACTAAAGAAGTAACAGTTTAACCTGGAATCTATTTTAACTGGTGACGCTTTAGGAATGAATGAATTTCTGACGTCTGTGAGTAATTTTCACAGCAAGAACAGCTAAGATGGACCAGGTCTCCGGCGTTGTCAGGCTCCTGTTTGATTACCCCCTGCGTCTTGCAGGCTCCCCCTTGGGGGGCGGGGCTGGGAGGACACTAGGGGCAGTGGCGGCCGCCACCACTGGAGGGAGCCTCTGGCCGTGAGGGCCATCGACAGACAGGGCCTCGGAACGACCGTGATGCCTGAAACAAGCTCTGAATTCCAGGGGAGCAGCCCCTTTATCCAGACTAAAGTAGGCCTGAGTCTGTGGCTGAAACTTACATTCAATCCTTCTGCCCCAATCTTCCTTCCGCATGTTACATGCAGTTTTTTTTTTTTTTTACCACCTTAACCCTCTCCCCTCCACTGCAGCTGACTCAGCCCCCATCACCTACAAGACTCTTCAGTCCGCTTTTTCTACCCCCTTTGGCAGGGCTTTGTCAAGAGGTTAGTTTGATTGAGTTTGTTTTGATCATATTCCACCTGGAGGCAGAAACTGATTCCCCGCTGTCCAGTTTAAAGCAAAAAGGACGAGCTGCCAGGGTTTCCCGGGTGGCGTCCACGGCAGCAGCCCCAGGAGTCCCGCTGGCCCGGTTCTGGGGCAGACGGTGGTGCCTGCGGGCCCCTGTGCTCGGGCGCCGTTTCCTCGACACCCCCAGCCGCGGTGACCACCCAGGGTCTTACACCACCAAATTCCACGCCACTTTCAGGGAACGGAGCCCATTTTCCTGCAGCGCGTGCGCTCCGCCTGCACATCCCGACTCCCGCAGGACGGGGCGACGGCCCGGGCTCGGCTCATCAGCTGCCGCAGACGCTGGAGGGGGAATCTCACAAGACAGGAAGCGGTGTGGAAATGGACTTTTCTCCAGAATTTTCCCACCCACTTGCCCCCTCTCGACACCTGTAGCGTCTCGTAAGCTCACAGAGGGAATCGCGCAGCCGAGGAGCAGAGCGATACCCTCGTCAGGCCGAGGGAGAGGGAGGCCAGGTCTCGCCCTAAGGCCGGCCAGGCTCAGGCGCTTCTCCCTCTCCCCCCCTTCTCTTCCTAAACATGAGTCATATTTTGAACTTGGTACCCACAACTCTCCCCAAGTGCGCTGTGATCGGGACCAGAGATCTACAGAAACTCCCTGCACGTGCCCTGCAGCCTCTCCCGGCACGCTGTCGTCAGGAGGCTGGAAGCAGGAACGAAGCAACAAAGCCACTTCTCTCTCGGTCTGAGGTGGCCTGAAGCAGGGGTGAGGGACGCAGAAGAGGCGCAGCCCTGCTTCAGGGCAGTCTGAACACACCTGAGCCCGGGGGCGGGACAGGAGGGTGGAAGAGATGGTGTGAGAAAGAGCCAGGAAGAAACAAGACAGTCTAAATAACTGATGAAAGTTTAATACATCAAAACCAGGTATTTATCATTTTTATACTGTATTTCCCATTTCTGAACAATACAAAGCGGGGCAAATAGTGACACTTCATAAAAATGTTGTACCCCATTCCCTTCCCTAAGCCCCAGACCTCCCTCAAATAGTCCCTCAAATAGTCTTGGATAAAACACTTAAATACATCATAAATAGTAAATTATGAAAAAAATAGCAAGAATTGTTTTTCCGTCTTGTAAAAAAAAGAACAGGGCAGCAAAGAGCGCAGCCAGAAGCCGGCTGGGGGCGTCTAATATAGACAGTTACTCGGGCGGGGCTCACCCACTCGGCTGGGGCGGGCGGAGAGTACGGGATTCAACAAGCTGCCTGCGATGGGGCCGTCCAGGCCCCGCCGGCCAGGCCCGGGCGGGGTGGGGCGCACGCCTGCTCCTGGAGCGGGTGAGGAAGGGGTGACAGCCCCCATTTCCAAGTCCTCTGCACGAAGAGGGGGCCGGGCGAGGGATTCAGCAGTAACTCGCCGAGGCAAGAATCGGCTGAATCCCCAAGAACTTGAGCATGTTCTCTGGCCTTACAGCTACGGACAGCCTGCTAGCCGGACATGAGTGGCCCCCGCTCCGCCTCAGCTCCACACGCAGCAGAATACTGATGCAAAAGGTGGGAAGAGTAAGGAAGAAACCTCCTTTGGAGAAGGATCTAAAATTCATTTGATAAGTCTTCATATTTAGAGAAACCACCAGAATACATTTCAAATGGCAAAACAGTAATAGTCATGATGGCCTGGCAGTGGGAAGGCTCCATGGGGAGGGCTCTGACTCAGCCTGTGACTGCCCCACTGTTTTAAAGAAAGGGGTACAGAGTCACCCCATGTCCTGTCTGCTTCATTCCTTCCATCTTGAGAAATTCATCGAGAGGAACAGCTGAAGAGGGGCTGCTCCTGGCCCGGAATCCGCATCTGCCTGCCAGGACACGGGCGCCCGGCAAGCGGCCCCTCTCATGCTCTGGAGGCTCCTGGAAACCGGCTGGGGCTGTGCCATGAGCTGACTTTCCTTTTTTAAAGGGGAAAAAAAAGGTTGGGAGGTGGTTAAACAACCTCACTCCCACCAAAATCTTTACACAGATTACAAGGCTCTCCTTCCAGAAAGAGTTACGGTGGAAATAATGCGCCGGCCGGTCTGTCCTGAGAAAACTAAGAGTCCAGCTCCGGGTGGAAGGCAGGGGAGGGGGAAGGAAACCGCCGGGCTCAGCAATACCACGTCCAGCAGGAACAACTGGGGTGGAAAACAATTCAGTTGCAGAAGCCAAAGCTGGCCGTCTGAAGAGCCACGGAGTGGAGGGGTGCTGTGGTCCCCAGCCGTCCGAGGCACTAGCTAATGCCCATTCACGAGGAAGGGGAAGGAGAGGGGGCACTCACGACCCTCCGTCACCCTCCCGCTGGAGGACCAAGAAGAAAACTCAGCATTGCTGGGCAAGGGCCGACTTCTTGGCATCACGCAGATGGTAGGACCTTGTTCCAGATCTTCTGAGGACTTTCACTCACTGGAAAGGGAAAGGGTGTAGAGTGAAGGGTGTGGCTACGAGAGGAGGAGGTCACAAAGGAAATCAAGTTAATTTCGAGCAAGTCAGTGACCGGCGGGCACCGTTCAAGAGTTTTCTCTTACTTCGGCCTCCGCTGGCAAGTACACGGTAACAACGACGAAACTTGACACAGCCCCCGGCCCCCTAACCTTGCCAGCTAACTCACTGCTCCCTCCACGCCATCAGCAATCCCCTTTATACCCTTCAAAGCATTTACCGCCCCCACACCCCAGACACTCACATGATTGCACTCTGACTCTGTAACTTCAAGTTTTTCTAAGAGGGTTGAACTGACAGGAGAAAAAAACAGAAGAATTAGAAGATCAAAACGAAAACGGCCTCTCTTCTCAAGACAAATCCCATATGGCTTCTCCGTATTTTACTTCACAACCCATTTGGGATTCAGAGAGAAGAGGCTAAGAGGCTATGGGGGAGGGAGGGTGGGTGGGGTGTGTGTGTGTGTGTGTGTGTAAGTACACTGTTTTGTTTTTTGTTTTTTTTAATATCCTAGTGTTAGCTGCTTCCTAGCCAATATAATTCAACCTTTTATTTTTATTTTATTTAAAAAGATTTATTTATTTTTATACAAAAACCGGCCAGATGTGTGGGAGGGTGAGAGGATTCACCAGAGCCAGAGCGGGGAACAGAACAGGCAGACTGAAGAAATACACTGCTGAGGGGAGCAGCGGGCAGCAGGAGAGGTCTGCACGCCATGTGGGACCCTCACCCGGCAGCTGGGGATCGAACTGGCACCACAGAGGCTGCAGGCAGCTTCGCAGCCTAGTGCTCAACCGCTGCGCCACCGGGGAGGTCCCAGGAAGTTATTTCTTAACACCCTCCTTTGCAAATTTCTTCAAAGTCCAGTGTGGCAGGTACCCACTCAGCATGGCTGCCCGACACTCATGCCACTGGGTGACGCACCTCCCGAGCGTGGGCTGGGTTTACTGAACTGCTTCTAGGGAACGTCTAGAATGCGGCACAGGTATGGAATGGCTATTCTAAGGTTAGGTCATAAAAAGACTGTGGCTTCCTTTGGCCACTGCTCTTCCTGCTTGCTCCAAAGGAAGCTAGCTGCCATGCTGTGGAGCTGAAGGGGGGGGGGGCGCGCCACTGGCCAGCGGCCCAAGAGGAACTGAACCTTGCCACCACCACACGTGGGCTGCTGGAGCCGAGAGCCGAGCCTCCCCGGTAAGCCTCCAGGGACACCACTGTCCTGGCTGACAGACCGAGTGTGACCTCCTGAGACAATGAGTCAGTCGCTCAGCTAAATCACGCCTACGTTTTAATTTTGTTCCTACTTATTTGTTATTGATAATGTACAAAATACAGCACCTCTTCAGGCGTGTGTTCTCACCACACCCACCACCAAGGCACCCACTGTCCTCTACCACAGCCCAGAGGTGCCCCCCCCACGGCCCATTTTCACTCTCTGCGGGCCTCAATTCTACAGTCCCATTTCTAGGGTTTGCTTTGGTTTAGTTTTGTCTGTTTCTTTGTTTTGTTTCTCTCTATTCCACAAGAGAGAAATGATTCAGTTTGTCTTACTCCTTCTGACTTACTTCACTTACCAAAATTCCTTTCAGTTCTACCCATGTTGTCACAAAATGCACACCTACATTTTTAAGCTGCATAACCTCTGAGGTAATAAATGTGTGTTGTTTTTAGCTGCTAAGTTATGGGTTATAGTGTTACACAACAGCAGATAATGCAGATACGTCCCTGGAAGTGCAGTGCTGCTGTAAATGGAAGTGGCTTTGACAGAGGGAAGTGGGCTCTGAAGAGAGTTTTAAAAGTGCCCTGAATGTAATACAGAACTTTGGACTTTAAGCCACTGAAGGTTTAAAGGAAAGTGAGAAAAATCTTACCAAAAGTTAGAAGAAAGGGGATCCTTATAATGTAGAGAAACTAAGTTTAGCATCAAATCATCTACATTACGTGGGCAGTAGAGTATGTGGCCTAACAAACTGGATGATCTAGCTATGAAGAATTCTAAGTGAAATGCTGAAGTGGTATCACCTGGTTTCTTTACCCGCTTATAGTAAAATACGAGAAAAAATAAATTCAGGGAAGAACTCCGAAACCAAAGAAGCCAGGACTTTCTGGTCTTTCCTTTAAACCTCTCCAGCTAGCAAACAAATCTAAAATTAAGAGATGGCTTCTGAGGAAGAATAAAATCCAGGCACTACCAAGAAAATGTGTCTATCGATGAAGCCAAGGGTACAGATGAAAAAGAATTTTTTAAAGACCCGAGTAAAGTCAAAGCTGGAGCTTCTGAACACTACTCGGACACACAGCAGTCACTCAAGCCACTAAGGGCAGGGCAAGACCCCGTCACAACAGTGCTCTGCGAGTCACAGGCTTGTCAAGGAGGTACCCATGGGCGAGGCTTTTGTCTAACAGAATGAATCCCACTGAGAGTCAGAGGAGGCCCACACACCTTTGAAGGTATTACCCCAGCAGACATTACCACTCTGGACTAAAAAGGACAGAAACAGAGACAACTGAACCCCCAAACTTCTACTGACAACCAGCAGGCTGACGAAACTACTCAGCTGCAAATGTATTGCTGCTTTCATGAAAAAGGGAGATTCAGAAGGCAAAACCAAGATTTTGGTAGAAATCTTGAGGACAGAGCCAAAAGCCACTGAGAGTTATTCTTGTGCTCTGAGAGCTGATTAAACGCTGCTATCGCCAGGCCCTGAACCAGCCATGGCTCAGGGACTCCTCTGTGCCTCTTACCCCACTTTTTGGACAGGAATGGGTACAGTGCTTCTCCAATACCTGCCTCACCACTGTTCATTGAGTGTAGAAGACAACAGTCTCCGACTTCACAGGTCCAGGGACTGAGACAACTGAATTCAAGGACCACCACCTGGGGAGATCACCCACACCTGGACCTAACTTAGAAACAAAATTCCAGGCTTTGAGCCCTGCAGCAACGGGATGACCCTCCTGGAGACCATGGGAGGGAATGAATGTACTCTGCACAGGGCAGAATGTAAATCACGGGACTTAGGGCTGACTGCGAAAGGCCACCTCCTAGAAGGCCTCCGCGAACCCTGTCTTCTGGTATCCACCGCGCTCTTGGTACCCCTTCCTCCTGGGAGTGGGCTAGCCTCACTGAAGAGAACGAAGCACAAGAGGCAGGATGTTAATTCTGACACAGAGGACAGGAAGACGTGGATCCTACTTAGGTGCATGCACGCTCACTTGAGGGAAGTGACTGTCATGCCCCAAGCTGTGCCATGGAGATCACATAAGGAGGCTACGGGGCAAAGAATCGAGGGAGGCCTCCAGCCAACAGGCAGCAGGAAACTGAGGCCCTCAGCCCAGCACCCAAAGATCTGAAACCTGCCAACAGCCACAAGACGAGTTGAGAAGTGGAGTCTCAGCTGAGTCTTCAGACCAGACCCTGGCCCTGGCCCACAGCTGACTACCACCCCATGGAAGGACCTCGAGTCAGAGGACCCAGCGAAGCTGTACCCACAGAAAGTACAATGTGTGTATTTTAGCACTAAATTTTAGGGTAATTAATATAAACATAACGCACTAGGTAACAAAATTAAGTCTTAGTCTTGACAATGGAGTCTTTTGAAAAACTGTTGCTTTCACTGACTGGGAATCTTTCCAGCCTTAAATCCTGAGCTGAAAGTTCTCACTTAGCTTACCAGGAGAGGAAGGGCTGGTATTCTGACTGAATATCAGGTTACACAGAGTGGGCTCCCACCCCCTAGGATGCGGAAATGCTGATGGCTTCATAAACTACCAGAGACACACTGAGGAGAGGAAGGCTGTGAGATCGCCAAGGGCAGTAAAGAAGGCAAACAATGACCCCTGGAAGTAACGGAATTATACAGTATTGAGGTTCCCAAGACCCTAACAAGAGATGAAAAGATTAAGTGAAGAAAGGACCAAGGAACCAACCTTGTAGTTAGCATCTGCAAAGTCTCTCCAACTACAGGCGAGAAACAGGGGTCAGGAATAGTCGAGACCTCACTGATTTTCTCCAAAGGAGGAGTCTGAGGTAAAACATCAGGACGACCGAGGTGGACGCCTGGAAAAAAGAAAGGGGAAGAAAACCAGTGAATAAAAAGGAGGAGAAAATGGGCTGGGTTATAGAGGGGACACAGGTAGCATGTTGACTTTTCCTGGACAGGAATGGGGAGAAGAGGTCCTAGGCACAAAAGGTAAGGGTACAGAAGGAAGGGAGGGGGGAGGGTGGGCCCAATTACATGGAGACCCCAGCCCTGGCGCTGACCTGGCTCCACTTCTGCCTTTGTTGTCACTTGTGCCTTGTGCTCCCCAGAGGCGGATGGCTGGTAAGTAACGCAGGAGTTGCCGCTGGGGCCTGCTCGCCGAGAGAAAGATGAGCCAGACCGAAACTTTTTGGAAGGAGAGGGCCTCACTTTAAAAGGGAAAGAGAGAGCCTACTTAGCACCCACCTCAGAAACCATCACCAAGACATAGACACAAACTACTAGTTTCCCCAGCACAAACTGGAAGTTGTTCTTCTGCAAAGCAGGAGGAAGGTTTAATGTCAACTAAGGCAGGCTCTATGGACTGCTCTTCAGAGGGAGCATCTCGTTCCCTTGACTCTGGAAAGCAGCAGAGAATCCAGAGGCAAAGCGGCACACGCGTATCTCCCCTGCTACAGCCACCTCGGTGGCTTTACAGCCACTGATGAGAGGTCCCCTGGCCAGTTGTCCCTCTGTGGTCAGCATGGAGAGTGCCCTCCAGGGAAGCCCGGCAGAGAGGGCCCGTTCACTGCATCTCACAGCACACGGCACTGTGACACTTTACGCTTTCATACACTGTTCTGAAAGGACTTTGAAAGTTTCTTAAGACTGGCACACTCAGATCCTCTTCTGCCTCACTGAGGGACAACTGAAGCTGATGAGGAGAAGCTGGGGAGGAGGAGATGGAACTTGCTGGTGGCAGCAGCGGGGGAGATTTAGAAAGAACATCATTAGCTCTTCCCAACCAAGAAAGTTGAAGGAAGAGACCAAGGACATGTGCTAAGCAGAAACACTATTTTCCCAACCACCCGATCCTAGTGTGAGAACCCCAGGCATCTGGGATAGGGACAGAAAACCACGCTAGGAATACCCTGGGGTATCTCCGTCCATAAAAGTCTAGTTCTGCCTAAAGCTCAGCCTGTGACAGAGCTCCTATACCCACAATGACACACTTCTGCAATCCCACCGATTTCCCAGAAGTGTCCCCGCCTCAACGACACATGTAAAGGAGAGCAGGGGGAGCAGCAACTCGCACACGACTGGGTCAGACAGTGACACGAGGCGCAGCAGCAGCTCTCACTGGGGGTCAGTGGAGCAGGAGAGGTCTGACTTTAAGCAGTTCCCTGAGCGGTGTCCTGGCCCCATCTCTCAGGGTCAGCGAGCCATCAGGGGTCATCTGGTAGAAGCACTTACGGGGGATCTTCTTGAACACCGTGTTGCACATGAAGCGCTGGAATCGCTCCGCGTAGAAGCCTGGCCGATGCACCGACACAGTGTCCTGCAAAGCACGAGAATGGCTGTGGTCAGAAGGAAGGTCCGGCAAGAGAACCTCCAGGCCAAGGGTCAGGCCACCCTCGGTTGAGGCCCTGACAGAAGGGTAGCACCCACAGATGAAAGAAGAAACTAAGTAGGCAAGTCAGAAGCAGGCAGGAGAATCTCTAGTTATTGCCACTCACCCCGTCGTGCACCAGTGCTTTCCAAGAGTGCTCCAGCTTCTTGACAAACCTGCCAAGAAAGACGTCTATCATGCATTCACACCATCTTAAAATAAATGACTTCAGTTTTCTATTTTAGGAAGTTAGAGGGACAATGGTAACCGCAACACTGAAAGAAACTAGGAAAGCACTCCACTGTTACGCCTGGTCTCCACAGAACAGGCGTGGTAGCACCTGCTCACCGTGGGAGACAAAGCTGTTTCTAGGTAAGGTCATGACGCCCACATTGGACGAGGGCAATCCAGTTCCTCCCTCACCACCGTGTCAGCGCTGCTTAGTCCCACAGGTTGAAACCCTCGCCGACACTGTGACACCCCAACCCCCCCGCAAGGGGAATGTGTTCCCAGCTCCCGATGTGGAGGATGACTCATCTCACGGGGTGTTTCACAAAGAGCCAGATGGTGTGTGCTACCCCGGTGTCACCGGGGGCTGACTCAGCGTTCTGCAGGGGCACATGCTGTGTCCCAAGAGGTGGTGCGGCATGGAAGCCGGGCGACAGAGTCAAGGAAACAGACCACCCAAAGAGGCAAGCAGCCACAGTGCCACTCGTGCCCTGGCCTCAGGCAAATCTGGTGTCAAAGTAGTTAGCTGCATCCACCCTGCCCCCAACGTGGGGCCAGGTGCTCCTCACCTGTAAGACTGCAGGATGTCAATGATGCCGATATAGAGCAGCAGTCTTTCTCCTTTACTGTTCCGGGCAGGGATGCCACCCATGCTGGGAAAGACAAGGACAGAGTGAGACAATCCTCTGCACAACAGCAGGTGCCTGTCATCGCAGGTCAGTCAGGACATGGAGCTGAGACCCAGCTCCCTCCATAGGCTAAGAGCCAGGATGGAGTATGCGTCAGCAAACTTCTCTCCAAACCTCACTTGTCTCCCATGCCTACCCTACCCGGGAGAATCTAAGAGGTCTCCTACTGAGCAGTTCATTGGGGGAATACTCCAATTAACTCGAAACTTCCTCAGTACTTTCATTATGTTAACATCTGAGTCTCAAGAGTCATGTTAATGGTGAGTGACACCACCGAGAAGACCTCTGTGGCACTACACTGACCACACGCAGTCACTGGTCACTGCACCTCGACACCATTGCGACCCAAGGCCAACGCCCACCACAGAGAAGCCCAGAACACACGACTCCTCCTGATGATGGTTTGATATGGTTTGCAGGCATGTCTAAGACCGGGTGTACTTTTTTTTAAAAAAAAGTATTAATTTTGAATCTCTTTCCTTCCCAGATATACTATAAATCCCAAGTTTAAGACATTTTCCCCAAGAAAGCTCTCAAGTTGTTGACCTAACTGTTGACTTAACTCAAGGGTCACTCCCTTCCCAGAAGCCGGGTCCCTTCCTCAAAAATCAAGTTTTGAGCCTACTGTCACGTTCCCAGCGCCCGTGTCCACTCACTGGTCATCAGTCTCCATGGTGCCCCCGCGTCGAGCCTCGCCCTGGATCGACTCCATAGCTGTGGAGTAAAGAGCCTTTTGCGGGGCGGGTCTGCGCAGGTCAACTGGGCACTGTGCTTCGCTGCCCAAGGGTTCTCGCTGGGCGTGATCTATGTTATGGATTGACATCAAGAGGCTGTAGTCCATTATCTTGAAGCTCTGTAACACCTACGGGAAGGAAAATCACGCTCTGAGTACTGCGAGGTATGAGGATTTTTTTTCAGGCTCTCACAGCTGTCCTGATTCGCTCTAATTATTCTTGATGGTACACCTCCAGGGCTAGCTAACCCAGGATTAGCCTTTGCTGCTCCTCCTCAGAGAAGGCAGTTACCCTCCTCTGATTATTCTCCATTTATATCCCTCAACTTTCTTTCATCTGAGTATATAAAAAAGTTAGGTTACCGCCTAGCCTATCAGCCCCTTTGTTGCTCCCTCGCCCCACCCCGTGAAAAGCAAGCAGCAAGGCGCATCTGTACCAAGCGTGTCTCGTGACAGATCTGTTGCAGATCTTAGATCTTACATGACCGGCTTCAGCTCAGGTCAGTGCTTGCCAAATCCCTACTGCCACCGGTACGGTGTCTTCCCAGGGGAGAGTCGGTGAAGTGCAGACACTCTAGAAAGTGGTGACGGGGCAGGACAGAGAGAGCAGAGAGCGCTGAGGCGTGTGTGGGAGGCACGCCAGGGGCTGGGGCTAGAAGAGCTGGGAGGAAAGCAAACGGGTTGATGAGCGACACTCAGGCCCGGGGAGCTGGGTCCGAAATGAGCAGAGGCTGGCACTCGCAGCTGTGGTGTCTTCAGTGGCGCACAGCTTGCGAGATGTAAGTTCGGGTCTGGCAGGCAGACCACAGGTGTGAGGAATGACAGTGCAGGCGTGAGAATAAGGACGATGAGCGACCGTGTGGCCCAGGGGGGCTGGGGACAAAGCACAGGCTGGTGGAGGAGAAGCAGGGGTGCCGCAGCCTGGGAGTTACTCTGAATGAGAATCTGCCTCCTACTGGGGGACGCAGGGAGCGAAGGAACAGAGTCCCATCTCCCACAGCTGTGACGCCTAAGAACCACCAAGCTGTTTCCACGCCTTTCAGTTTCTGGACAGAAGCAAGTATGACAACTCACCAGGCAGTCGCGCTGCAGGGTCTTACAGAGAGCATTATACATGTCGGAATCCAAAAAGAGGCCATCGGGGATGTCTTGTAAGAAGTCCAGGTCTTTCAGCGTGGGGAGAGGTTTTTCTCGCTCCTTCTGGGAAGCCCGCCTTTTGTAGGTTGAGCCCTTGAGGTCGTATTTGATATGCATCTTGACCGACCGTGGTAAGAGATTGTTCATCACCACAATTCGAATGTTCTTACCACCTGCCTGCACACAGTACAGGCCGTAGAATTTAGGCAGCAATGTCCGAGGATTCTGGTTGAGGTTCTGAAGGCACAGCAGTAAGAGGAGGCAGAAGAGCAAGTTAGCCAATTTTTAGTGAAACTCATGGGCAAAAGCTGTCACCCAGGGCCTCCCCGGTGGCGCAGTGGTTGAGTGCTGGGTTGTGAGGCTGCCCGCGGCCTCTGCAGCGCCGGTTCGATCCCTGGCTGCTCCCTGGCCACCGGAGGAGGGTCCCACAGGGCGCACAGACCTCTCCTGCCGCCCGCTGCTCCCCTCAGCAGTGTCCTTCGGTCCCTCTGCCTGCTCTGCTCCCCGCTCTGGCTCTGGTGAATTTTCTCACCCTCCCACGCTTCTGACTGTACCCAGTGCTTGCATAAAAAAATAAATCTTAAAAAAAAAAAAAAAAAAGCTGTTACCCAGCTTCCTTTGGGATTCAGTTACAATCTGTCTGTCCTTAAGCCCACACCTTATTTGTTCAAAAATTTCCAATGCAATTGAGTCAAGGATGGATCACTACCAGCTGAGTCACAGACCCTCCACCGTAGGGTCTTCAATATTCACTCAGTCTGAAGAGTGAACTTATGTTGGATTTATTCCCTCACAGATGTTTGAGATGTTTTAACCTTAAGTCCTTGGTATAGTACACTCTTGGGGGATATGATGGGAAGTAAAGAGGAGTTCTTTAATTTCTCCAGAGCCTGCAGGAGCAATCAGGCAGAGTAAGCTTAAGCCGAGTACAAATGGGCCTCCCCGGTGGCGCAGCGGTTGAGCGCTGGGTTGCGAAGCTGCCCACAGCCTCTGCAGCACCGGTTCGATCCCCAGCTGCTCCCTGGCCACCGGAGGAGGGTCCCACATGGCGCACAGACCTCTCCTGCTGCCCGCTGCTCCCCTCAGCAGTGTACTTCGGGCCTTCTGCCTGCTCTGCTCCCCGCTCTGGCTCTGGTGAATTTTCTCACCCTCCCGCGCTTCTGACTGTACCCAGTGCTTGTATAAACAAACAAACAAATAAATAAATCTTTAAAAAAAAAAAAAAAAAAACAGAGTACAATCAAGGTAAGTAACCAACCTCACTCGACATCTCAATCTAGAAGGTAGACTAAGAACAGAAGATAAAATCATCACTGAATCTTGCCTTTGAGTAAGCCAAATAACTGAAACAGGACTGATAAAGAACTCCTTGTGGGGACCTCCCTAGTAGCACAGGGGTTTAGTCTCAGCGCTATCAAGCTACCACCAGCCACTGCAACATGAGTTCGATTCCGGCCAGGGAGCTACCCACATGGCATAGCCAACCACTCCTGTCTCCCCTCTGCTCCCCTCAGTACTGTATTTCAGTAGATCTGCCTGGTCTGCCCCCCACTCTCTCTCTGGAAAATCCTTTTATCCTCCTACACCTCTGGCCTGTACCCCCTTTCTTGTATGCATGAATAAAAATAAATCTTTAATTAAAAAAAAAAAAAAAAAAAGAACTCCTTGTGGCCACAGACAGCAAGACAGAGGGAGAGAAGTATGAAGCATGAAAGTGGACTGCGTTCTTCCACAGACGTGCGGTGCCGTCCACCCCACGAAGACCTGTCCAGAAGTGGAGCAGCAACACCAGTGCTCAGCGGTCATCTTCTCCTCACCATGTAGTATCCTGGAAGCAGCTTCTGCAGAAACTCCGCCTCTTTATGCTGGACCGTTTTGATGATGAACTCGTCATCACTGGACACATAGAAGAGGGACCCGCTGGCGCCTGAGTTGCAGAGTTCAATCAGCGGCTCGCTGCAGAGGGAGTACTGGGCCCGGAGAGAAGAGGACAGAGGTTCAGAGACCAGGGTCCGCCCACCCAGGGATCAACTGCACGTGCCATTCTGTCCTCAGGGACAGGCAGAGCAAGACGGGCGTAGTGCTCCTTGGGAGCTGCCTCTGACACTGGCATCCCAGGGGCCTGAGACCCGAAAGCTTACCAAGTAATCATCAGGCCGGATACCGAATAACTCCCGAAAGTAGCGGAAGGCCACAGGGGCATAAGTCTTGAACCGGAAGTCATTGTAGTGATGAGCAGGGGTGAGGTTGCTCCCTTCACTGTGGGGTTGAACAGAAGAAGCCATAACTCACCAATCCTTGACATCCACCCTGGGAAGACGCGTAGTCACCCAGAGGCAGGCCAGTACCTCCCTCCCGACATAATCAGAGGGATTAGATGAGTCAGTCTGTTAGTGGGACAAATGCGTAATATGGGATTAAGACAAGAACACAGGGAATCACACTGCCTCCTCCTCAAGGCCTGAACTGTGTTTCTGCACACACGCCACAGGCCAGAGGCTCACGGAAGCAGCACGGAGAGCAGCTGCTCCCCGATTTCTCCATTCCCACGTCACCCTGATGAAGACCTCCAATCCCACACCATCAGGACATAAGCCCAAATTAGACCCTAAAGCTGCACTGAGGTTGATACAAAAAAGTGTCACATTTTCCAGCATATTCCCCTGGAAATTAACCTCTGTACCTGGGGAAGAAGATACTCTCCACCACATAGAAATCTTGCATGAGGACATCCCGTTCTGGTTTCGTACTCAGGCTCCCCACAGTATGAGTAATGCCTAACTGGATGGCACCTTTCAAGGCGGATGAGGTTGTCTGACAAACAAGAGAAACGAGTTAAATTTCAAGTACTAAATAAAACAATCCAAGCAAAGGAAAAAACAAACAGAAAACAAACAAACACGACAACACACATAAAACCTGACCACAGCAATGAAAACTCAGGAATGCAGTCGGGAGGAGATATACTTTAGGAAAGCAAACACCACCCCGGCTTCAGACCAGGTCAGGCAGCCGGCTCTCCACCCCTGCTCGAGATGGCAGTGACATCTGGCACAGCCTGCCAGTGCGTGAAGATATAGAGTGGGGCTCGCTGAGGCAGCCCCAGCAGGCACGGTGCCCCCATCTATCTGTACTGGAAGACACACCAGGAGAAGAGTTTTAGTGCTCACTTCCCTCCAAAGGCCCCCACTAAGAGTATTGGGGGGGGGGAGAGGAGTGTGGGCCTCTAAACATTTTATTCATCTGATACAAAAGGGAAAGAGAATCAAGGGGTGCTTTGACTGACTACAGTGTGACAGAAGTTTCAGTCCTCTCAGGCAGATCCGACTGGGTATCCCAGGGACAACGGGGTGGAGTCAGGGCTGGAGCTCCGAACTGAAGAGTCAAATTAATTCTGAGAAAGTATTTGGATTTTAAATGATAATACTATGGTCAAAACACTAATTACCCCCACCCCCACTCTTACAACCCAGGATTCTAACTCCATGTGAAAATATCATCTAGAGCCGTGCTGTCCCATACAGTAGACATTAGCCACATGTGGCTGTTTAAATTAAAATTATTATTTTAAAAGATTTATTTATGCATACAATAACTGGGGTACAGGCCAGAGGTGTGCGGGGTGAGAGGATTCACCAGAGTGGGGAGCAGAACAGGCGGATCTACTGAAATACTCTGCTAAGAGGAGCAGTAAGTAGGTGAGACAGGAGAGGTCTGAGCCATGTGGGTAGCTCCTTGGTTAGGGATCCAACTTGTGCTGCAGTGGCTGCTGATAGCTTCATAGTGCTGAGACTTAACCCTTGCACCACCGGGGAGGCCCAAGTTAATTAAAATTAAGCTGAATTTAACTCAGTTTGTCAGTCTTACTGGCATGCACTCCACAGCATGCACATCAAGTATGACTGGTGGCCACCATACTGGATGATACAAAAGCGCATTTCAATTCCTGTAAAAAGTTCTACTGGATAGTCTGTTTTGAAAGATTTCCCTTATCCCAACTCTCCGAGTATTTGTTCCTAGTCCTTATTGGAATTAAAATTATAGCTAGTTTTTTAAAATGCTTGCCCCTCCAATTAGAGTAGTGGCTCAATGCTCATTAACACATAAGAACTCAAAAATTTCCCTTGAATTGACAAGAGTCTCAGAACCCCTTCCCGGGAGTCAGGTCTTTTTCTTGAGAATGAATCTATTCCTTGGGACACTGCCATAAAGGCAGAGAAAAAACAAGCAAAATTTACCTGGGCCAGAAAGAGAACTCTAACAAATGTTCTCGTCCTACATCAGATGAGGCACAGGTGCTGCATGGGAGGCTGAACACTGCCTCTTGGGACGCCTAAGCATTTCCGAATCAGCCCAGAACTAAAGAAGTGGGATTCACCCCAGAAGGCCTCTCTCCCGTTCTCCCTTCAGCCATTCAGTTTTTGCCTATTACTATCTTCTTGACTATTCCTGTTATCTTTCCAATACATGTGATAGCTGAAGCTCAAAGTGCAAGTGTTCTAGGTCCTATTCACCAGCTGAAACTGCCATTTAAAAAGTAACAAACTGCACACAAGAGAGAAAGAAAACATTCAGCCTGCAGTCTCTCCTGTATCACAACAGGCTATCTCGCCTTTACACACATCCAGTGCCACAGGACAGACAGACATTTAGGAGACATGGCTGCTGACACAAGGTAAGAATGACTTGGGGACTTGTTAGATGTTCATGCCTAATAGAGAAAAACACACACACACACACGAGACAATTCACCCCTTGTGAAGTACACCCTAAAATCCGAGTTGTATGACAAATATTGTGAGAAGGTTTACGATTGCAAGAGATGAGACATAAGGTGGAGATAACATCAAGGAGGCAGAACTATCCCTTCCCGAGTAAATGAAAGGGTTCTGCCCAGACACACCTTTTTATATGTTGTCTCTCCTGAGGAATCAACACCTCGGTGGCCTATTTTCTTGATGGGCATGCCAGAGGTATAGGACACCTAGGAAAAGAAGAGTTGCAATTAGTATATGAGCCCCAGCAAACCACCACCCTGGTGGTTTATCAAAACAAAACACGTTAGATAAGGACATTGTCTAAAATCTTCAGAAGATGGGCCCTATGAGCACACACCGGCCCAGAGTTGCCCCCCAGTGAATTAACTGGTTAACTACAAAGAACAGAGAAGAAAACTCCCAGGACACATATTTCACCTGTGATCTTCAGAAAGATGACATAGAAGACAAATAGGAAATAACACCAGAAAAAAGGGAAAAACCTAAATTCACAAAAGCAAGACATGTTATATAGAATATATAGAATTCTACATATAGAATTCTACAGATTCTTTCTTTGTTAGCTTTTTCATTAAGCTTTTATCTCAAAACAAATTTTTCAGAAATTTCTACCCCTGTAATCTTCAGCCCAACCTGAACATTATTTGCTCAGAGTGAATTCAACAGCAGAAATTATCTAGCTTTAGGGGGCCTCCCCGGTGGTGCAGCGGCTGGAGCGAAGCGCTGTGAAGCTGTCCACAGCCTCCGCAATGCAGGTTTGATTCCCGGCCAGCCAGGGAGATTGGCATGGCAGACCTCCCCTGTCTCGCCCGCTGCTCCCCTCAGCAGTGTATTTCGGTCTGTCTGCCTGTTCTGCTCCCTGCTCTGTCTCTGGTGAATCCTCTCACCCTCCTGTGCCTCTGGCCTGTACCCCAGCTATTGTATAAATAAAAAATAAATCTTAAAAAAAAAGAAAGAAAGAAAGAAAGAAAAATTATCTAACTTTTGGCAAATTCAAGTAATACAAGCCTAGAAATTAAAAGGCTGAGGCAACAGGATGACTCCTCACAGAGATGGGGCCCTGGTGTCTTAAAGAGATTCCTGAGACCATGATTACGGCTTTGCTTTCCACCCACACAGCAGCCCTGAAGGAAGGCAGGCATGAGACCAGCAGAGCTGAGTGTGGAAGGCTATTCCAGACGCCACAGCCGTGACAGCAGCCCACAGCCGTGAAGGCACTCTTCCCCGCCTCGGCACTCAGTCACTAGCCAGAAGGCAAGGATTCAGTGGAAACAGACGCCGTGATCCGCGGGCCTGATATTAAGTTCCCCTCTTCTTGCTGAGGCCCTCAGTGCCAGACAACCTTTAGTATATAACCTAACACATCTGAGATTTGTTTTGAGATAAAAGCCTAAAAATCCCAGGCCAAGAGGGTCCATTTTATGAGGCCCCTGTCACCAAACCCAGGAGAGAGGTAAGAGGTTAACAGGAGAAATTCCCCATGGGAAGAAAGTCAAGCAAATGGAAGATACTCTGCACAGAAAAGATAAACAGGAACTGAATGACTTCTGTATGGTCGAGAGCAGCACTCCTATTGGCTAAAGCTGTCCAACCAGGAAGCAGTAACAGACAAGAATGGGGCCAGCGTCCAATCTCAGTCTTATTAACTGCCCGATCTTGGGGAAATTACAGAACTGCTAATCCTCACTTTCTTCAACTGTAAAACAACAGAAAACATGCACAACACCAGTACTTTCCATACAGAGGTTGTCTGCAGAATTGGGTAACGATATCTATAAATGACATTAAGTATATTATTTACACTTTGGTACATTAAAAATGCTCAATTCCTGTGAGCTATTATCAATACCATAGTGAAATGCAACAAAAGTAGAGTTGTATTAATTTCTACCAAAGAAATGTAAGAACCCTGTCTAGCTTCCAAATTTGTTTTGTTATAAACCCACAACCTTCTATGCCAGAATGAGTTGTTTTAACTACTACATCAATATGAAACTTACCTCAGATGTCATGGGTTTTTTGATTCCAGATGCTGTTAAAAAAATAAACAAGACAGAATCTTTAGTATGTACACACACTGCCTCTACCAAGGATATTACACCCTGAAGTAATCAGGGTTTAAGTCAAATCAAACCTGACAACAGGCTCCTGTCTCTTGCTCAGGGAGAACAGATTCTTTCTAATAGGAATTTTAAGTGTGCCCTCGCCCTCCTCCTCCAGACAGAGTCCTGATGTAAAGTCCACTCCTGTTGTAGTTCCTTTTCTTCCTCAAGCACTTGTATGCTCTCTGAGAAGTCAGTCTGCCCTGGAAACACTTAACTAGCAGAGCCAGAGGGCCTCAGCTGGTGCCATGGGTGAGAGGGAGGCCCCGAGAGACACCCACGACTCACTGGCATCTGGGCTGAATGGATAATGTCTCTCTTACACCTACAAGTATAGAACTTGCAGGGCACGTCTACGGTGCTCCACTCTCCCTCTATTATTCATTTCAGGAAAAAAGTCAAAAGTTAACGAGAAGGCTGACGATGAGAAAATACTGTATGGAAATACTGCAAAAGCATTCAGTGCAGGGGAGCTGTTCTGGGTTCTCCACATCCTCGCCTGGTTTCTGCTGCGTCCTCGTGGGCACCCTGCCTGAGCTGTCTGCTTACTATTTAATCGGTACAGATGTAAGACAAGTGTGTGGTTAAATCTCACAAGTATCACGTATGCCTTTTATCCAAAATTTAAGAATGGTTTCAAGAATAGGTGTGTTTAGCAAGTGACTCACTCTTTGGTCCATCTACAGAAAATCTACTCTGAAAGATCCAATGAATTCTTAAGGGTTTGCATCCCCATCATTTTCACCTATGATTACATCGGACACACAGTCAGGGAGACAGACAGACCTTCCTCCCTTCATATTGGAGAATGTTGGCCTTTACCTTCAAAGACTATTGGTGGATCACTTGGAATTAGTTCTAAAGAATTCAAGGGGGATAAAGATTAGCCATATTAAAAGAAATTAAAAAGAGGACGCCAAGTGGATGGATCTTCAATAAGCTAAGTTACCATCTGAGTAAGAAGACCCCAGGTCCTGTACACGTGTAAGGATTAATAATGACGACGAAGGAACGGAGACACATGGAATGAAGGGCAATCGAGTAATGTTCTCATGATGGTTGTTTAAGACAATGATCAAGGTGCCTGAGAATTCAGAATCTAGTTGGGCTCAGAGGAGAGACTGTGTTTTGATACCAATAGCAGAGCAGCAAAAGTGCCTTCCCCATAGTGAGTCAGCATGGCAAAAAAGGGGAACAGATGGTTTTTATTCTCTTCCCAATAAAGGAAGCAAGAGAAATGTCACCTAGCTATTGGGAAGATACAGTGCATATGTGACTCAGAACAATGAAAACCACACAATTTTCACTGTTAACTCTTGAGTTGTCCCATCATAGATATATGGTCTCCAGCAGGGCCCAGTAAGTGACACCTTTACAGGTGTAGATGCCTCACGGTTAGTCAGGTTGACTTCAGATGGGAGAAAGACTCAGTGATTTAGGGATGGACCCCGCAGATGAAGCTTCCAAGAACAGACTCAGATCTATGATGAAAACTGCTACAGACTTACTGCAAAATTTAAGGTGTCCACCAACGGAGACAGTCAAGCCCCTTAAATCCTACAACCCCTTAACTGAGAGTGAACATGCCATGCTATTTAAAAATCAGAAGACCCGGGTTCAAATCCCTTGCCCATGAGGAAAACTGTTCTCTCTATTTAACAAAAACAAAACCTTTATTTTAAGGTGTAAGTAAAGATGAGATGTGAGATAAGCTAAATCAAAATACTTTATGGACTCTAAAGTGCTATACAAATATGCTGCTCCGTGTGGCTTTTTTTTAAAAATATGGACTATTTCAGGAATCAGCATGTCACCTTGCATAGGGGTCATGCTAATCTATGTCTCATTCTGATTTCAGTGTGTGAGCACCAGGTGAGCACTGCATGTGATTTCTAGTGCAAGAGCAAAGCTGGACCCACAAGGTTTAATGTTCTATTACCTAGACCTTTATGAAATTCTAATTAGCATTTCAAAGTACTGGGCTCACCCAAGCCCTTGAGCCACCCCAACCCACAATATACCAACTTGCAGGGCAGACACTCAGCCACAGAGTCAGACTCTCATCAAGGAAATCGGCATGATTTCAGTAAAGACACTGATTCTGAACTCCTTAGTCAGTTCTTGGCCTATTCCCTTATAGAAGAAGGGGTTTGCAGAGGAACTGGCACAACCAAGAGCCAACATCCACTCACGGAGTGGTGGTATCACCTAGAGGGTAACCGCTGTATGCAAGGAGTCATGGGACAAAGTCAAACAATGGAAGGGAAAAAGCAGTTAAGTGATTTCAAAGCAGAGTAGACTTGGGGCTTTCTTCCTAAGAAGTTCTACTTTGCTGCCTTTCCTATTTTTATCATTCAAACATGTGGCTTTAGGGCTGTACACTCTTGCGAAGTACCCAGAATGGGGGTGGGAGGACTTTGCTCAGTGGAATTTTGGTGCCAATTGCATAGCTCAGCAACTGCAAAACTGGGATTAATCCCAAAAATGCTACTACTGCAGCAGAAAGATACTGGGGTCTAAATAATAATAATCGGACCAAGTAATAAAGGGAGAAGAATCGGGCCTAAGGTTTACCTTCTCCCATGCTTGAAGTTTTGGCCTTGGGCACAGATCAGAGTCAACCTAGCAAAGAATGGAAGAGAAAAGAAAAATGCCTAGAAAATTGTATCAGCGCTGCCTTGTCTGGTCCAGAAACCCAAGAAAGAACAGAGACAACACAGGGAACCAGGCCTGGTAAGTCCATGAGACTGAAGAGCCACCAACAGTACATACAACACACATTTTCACCTGATAATCAGTTTTCTTTTCTATGGGTGTGTGTGTGTGTGTGTGTGTGTGTGTGTGTGTGTAGAGGATAGAAAGAAAAAGACCAACTCAGCAAGGCATACTATATGGTAATGGCATTGCTATATGGTAATGCCAGCCAGCAAAAGCTTACGGGAAATGGATTTATCCCTATGGGTAAACTAGAATATTGTTTTCTAGTATCTCTGTGAAAAATAATATCTAACAGGTATTTATCATCATTTTATAATCCACATCCATAATCCAGCTATATTGCCACTTTCTGTATGTGGGGAAACTGACTACAGGACAGTTTAAAATTTACTCTTCCTCAGAAAAACCATTCTCCTGAGGATGTGAGGACCCATAAGCCAAAACTGTCAGGGATTACTATGAAAACGCTACATCATCATCCGTCCACACCAGGAAACACGACACTGGCTACGAGGGCAGGTGGGCACAGGCTGGCAGGTCGGGTGTAACGCTGCAGCCGGCTAGGGCCAGCTTCCTCTCAGTGACTCAACTGTAACACATCTCAGCACGACTCTGATACTCAACTATTTCTGCTTCTCCCACCTCCCCATTCATTTATCCAATGGCTGCCTACGGATCACGTATTGTCATGGCAGGAAGGACACCACAAGCACTATGCCCAGCTGTTTGCTCCTAACCTGGAGGCGCTCACACTTCTGCTTGCTACTCCACCAAGGGGCATATCCACATTCCCCAACTTCCCCTAAATGTTGACTAAACTGAGATGCCAATGCAATGGTAGCCAGATTATTCATCTCCACTCACCGATTCATATTTGTATAGCGCTTTAAAAGCTTATAAACACATCTCATTAGGCCTTCAAAACTACACGAGGGCGGGAACTGTTCTAATAGAAGACGTATGAGATATGTCCACCTAAGACAATGTGTAAAACTTACTTGGATGCTGATTAGAAAAAAAAAAAAAAAACCTAAAAAGATTTCTTGGACAGAAATCTCAAAAAGAGAAATTAACTATCGTTAATTCTGCATATGCGACAAGCTACTATGGTTTTATAATAACTCCCCCAACCTCCCCACCCCCCGCCCGCCACCACCAAAAAAAGCATCCTTACCTATAGAAATACATTCTAAAGTATTGATGGGTAAAATCATATGGAGACTATCTGCTTTAAAACATTCCATGCGGTAGAGGTGGGGCAATGGAGAAGAATGCAGCCAGACTGGCAGACTGCTGCTACGGAAGCTAGCTGATGGGCACAGAAAGGTTCATTGTATCCTTCTATTTTGTGTATGTTTGAAAATATTTATTTTTATAAAGACAAGAAAAAAAGATAACACAAGAGAAAAAGATAACAAATCTGGATAATCAAGCTTCTGCATCTGAGCTGGTTTATTTCTTAGAGATTTTCTGTTAAAAGTAGGCAGCAAAGATGAAGTTCTAACAGTGAAATTCTTTTCCTATTATACTAACTTCCCAATTCAAGTCCACAGAGTTTGTGTCCTTCATGACTATGGAACACCTACTTAGTAACACGCCCTGGGCTGAGAAGTATTCTAACCAACGTGCTAATGCTGCTATACTGGAAACAGAAAAAGGAAGGCCATGACAAAAAGGCTGCATCAGAAAAATGGCTAAGATAACTTTAGTTTTTAGTGAGTCAATAAACAATAGAGCCAATGGTGACGATTTTGACCCCTAGTCCTTCTGCAGAAAGAGAATGTAAACAGCCCAGAGGAGCAAGGGTGTACTCACTTTGGGGACTTTTTTTTTTTTTATCCTGCCCAAGGCTCAGTCTGGCTGAAATCTAAGCTGTTAACAAAAGTTGATTTTACTTACTCTTTTCCTTTTTGAATTAAAGTAATATTGCATTATAACATGAAAGATGGTTTTTAAATCGAACAAATTGACGTTTTAGCTTCTCAGTCACAAATAAAGCTACTTGCTCATTATCAAGCTAACGTCTTTTTTTTTAATATTATAAAAAAGTCATTCAGAAAAGGTCTTGAGATTTTAGTCTAATTTTTTTTTTTAAATAAATAAGAGCACACAGAAGTTAAGGGACGTGGTAAAAAGTAAAGAAAGGCAGTGACAGAGTCAGAATGGGAATTCACATTGCTAATCTTCAATTGAGGTCTCGTTCTTCTAAACAATCTTTTGTTTTCAATTTCCTGGTCACCTAGGTGAGACAAGAAGGCACCAAGGAAATTAGGATGCACTGAAAAACTAAATAAATCTCAGAATTGCTAATGGACAGTAAGAACAATTTTCTTCCCTTTCAGGTAAACCTCCCACCCATGAAGGGGAGAAGAGCATTTTTCCCCCCCATCATTTTCACTGACAAGAGTTAGATGGGCCTCCCTGGTTGTGCAAGGCATTAAGTCTCAGCACTGTCAAGCTATCCAGCCACTGTAGTATGGGTTGGATCCCCGGCCGGCCAGGGAGCTACCCACATGGCACAGCAGACCCCTCCTGTCTGCCCGCTGCTCCCCACAGCAGTGTGTTTCAGTGGATCCACCTGTTCTGCTCCCCACTCTGCTCTCTCACGCCCCTGCACTTTTGGCCTGCACCCTAGCTCCTGTATGCATAAATCAATCTTTGGGGGAAAAACAACAGAGTCCTCCTTTAGTTCCCCTCAATTAAATTAACAACATCCTATTCCTCTCTGGTACTGGAAAAACAGTACCTTTCGCTTCTTTTACCTAGTGAGATGATCTTTCTAAGAACCACCCATTTCTAGAGGAGGAGAAACTGTCAAGTCTGACACCTGAAAGAGCAGTCTCTCGGTCTGATAGCTGCTTAGGCCCTCACCAGCAGTAGACAGTACCTTTTTGTCTTTGTAATGAGACTCAACAACTTTAACAGAAAAAAGAACTCCATTCTTAGATTAGAATCTTCTTTTTTCATTTGTGCAGGACAATGACTTGGTCTGATTAAAAGCATAGGCTACGACTACTGAATGTGCTTGGACAAAAAGGCAGCTCCTGATGGGCAAACTGTTTTAAGGATCCTGGAATCCGCTGACTCAGTCACCATTCACTGGCAAAATCTACATTAACTTTCTAAAATGATCAATATTAGGAGCACATAAAGGAGCTCAGAAAGAATTTGTTATTTTTCTAGGAGAATCAAGGTCAGGGAGGAAGTTCCCCTTCTGTACCATTCTCTCTTCCAGCAAGCACAGCTGGTTCAGTCAGTACCATTCAACAACAAATATCTAATCTGTTTTAAGTCAAGTTAGTTCACACACAGACTGTCAGATTAGTGAAGGGACCAATAACAGCACAGTGGGGCAGGAATGTGGGCTTGATTAAAACTTGTCTAGGAATGTGGGTTTGATTAAAACTTGTCTAGGTCTTGGTTACCTCGTCTATAAAATGGAGAAGTAACAACATGTACCTCATAGGGGTGCTATAAAAATTAAATAAGCCATGTATAATCCTTAACATAGAGTAAATACTCCATAAGCACTTGTCATCATGAGTTATGAAACCCCATATCCAGGATGAGAAGGGTTAGGGGAAATGAGAGGTGCAGCAGAAAGGGGACAGAGCAAGGGTGGAGACCAGTTTACTGACACAAAAGGAAATGAAGTTATGGGACAAATTTGAGAAAACAAAAAGTGGTCAATTGAGTCACATCATACTATGGAACTGGGAGAAAATACACAACTATGTTAAGACAGCATCTCTTCTGGAGCGGGCAGAGGGAAAAGAAGCTACCATCAGATAACGTCTGCAGGACACCCACAGCCTTCTTAGAAGAAGACCATGCACTGGCACCACAAACAGCCTGGATTGTTATGGGGAAGAAGAGCTGGCTGCTAGTTATTGCAAGGAGCTCATGCTTCTTCAGCAGATACACATCAGATCTACCTCTCTTACGGCTGACCCCACAGCACAGAAAGTTGAAACCTAAATGAGGAAAAACAGAAAGTTATCACTTATTGCTGGGGTTCTACTTGTTTATAGCAGAGTAAGTATATTTTAAAAAAACTCTAAAGTTTAAAATTATAGACTGATCCCCAGCACCAGACTATGAAATGTGAGGTTACACTTTACAGCTACACGTAAATGTGCAAAAATGGGAGAAGTTCAGAAAAATTTTTCCAGAAGTGGTCACAAAACTTGTAAACTAAAACATTTCACTCTGGAGTGATTCCAGATTGGCAAAACCTTTTTATGGATCCTTTGCATGAGAGCATCTATCCTTTAAAAAAAAAATTAAAAATGGGGGGCCTCCCTGGTGGCAGAGGGGTTAAAGACAGCGCTTTCAAGTTACTGCCAGCCACTACAGCAAGAGTTCAATCCCCTGGCTGGCCAGGGAGCTACCCACATGGCAGGGCAAACCTCTCCTGTCTCACCTGCTGCTCTCCTCAGCAGTGTATTTCAGTAGATCTGCCTGTTCTGCTCCCCACTCTCTCTGGTGAATCCTCTCACCCCCTGCCTGTATTTTTGTATGCATAAACAAATCTTTAAAAAAATGGGTGTACAATTTATTTGAACAACTTCCACTTCTGGAAGGTAATATCCAGCAAAAAGCCTCAAAAGTATGTATGTACAGGGCCTCCCTGGTGGCGCAAGGGACTAAGCACCGCACTATAAAGCAATACGCAGCCTCTGCAGCATGAGTTCGATCCCCAGCCAGGGAGAAACCCACATGGCACAACAGACCTCTCCTGTCTCACCTGCTGCTCCCCTCAGCAGTGTATTTTGTCAGTCTGCCTGTTTGTTTGTTTTTTAAAAATTTATTTATTTATGCATACAAGAGCTGGGGTACAGACCAAAGATGTGGGGGGTGAGAGGATCCACCAGAGACAGAGTGGGGAACAGAACAGGCAGACTGACTGAAATACACTGCTGAGGGGAGCAGCAGATGAGACAAGAGAGGTCTGCCTCGCCATGTGGGTTTCTCACTGGCCGGCAGGGGATCAAACTCGTGCTGCAGAGGGTGCAAATTACTTCATAGTGCGGTGCTTAACCCCCTGCACCACCAGGGAGGCCCAGTCTGCCTGTTCGTTCCCCGCTCTGTCTCTGATGAATCCTCTCACCCTCCTGCACATCTGGCCTGTACCCCGGTTCTTGTATAAATAAATAAAATCTCAAAAAAAAAAAAAGAGAGTAAAGTATGTACAGTTTGACTTAGAAGTGAAATTTATCCTAATAATCAGTCACCTGAATAAAGATATATACATAAAGATATTTATCACAGCAATATATATAACTATTACTGGATATCTACTCTAATTGGAAAGTTTCAAATGAACAGGGGATTGGTAGTATATATTGTGTAGCCATAAAATTGATTACTATTATTTTTGTATACACTTATGGATAGAATGTCACAAACTGCTGAGTGGAAAAAGGTCAAAGAATTATTTTAAAAAAAAATATAGAGGGCCTCCCCTGGTGGCGCAGTGGTTGAGCGCTGGGCTGCGAGGCTGCCCGCAGCCTCTGCAGTGCCGGTTTGTTCCCCGGGCGCCAGCGAGGGTCCCACCCAAAAAAAAAATAAAAAAAAAAAAAAAATATATATATATATATAGAGAGAGAGAGAGAGACAGAGAGAGAACAATATTTTCTGAAAAACACCCATAAACTTACATAGGAGAGACCCAAAGGAACATAAACCACAATGTTAACATATGACCATTTCTGGATAGCGGGATTAGTGACCCTATAACTTTAAGTTTCTATTTTTCTTATGTACATAAATTTCCTGTAACAAATATTATATAGGTATTATATATTCTAACAATCAAAGCGATACACAAGGCTGGTTTTCCGGTCATTCTGTTTGCTTTCTAACCCACTTTTCCCAGTAGACCACAACCCAACAGCCCATACGCGCAGACCATACTCCCTTCCCCGCACATTAACTCAAGCTCGCTGCAATCCTATGCTGCTGTGGAGAGAAACTGCAAGGACAAATGTGAAAAGGAAATGTCTAGCTTGCTGCTGACAGTCCCAACCTACAAGTAAGCTTGACGTCTATACGCTAACACCCTCTTTCTCCGCGTGTTTCTGTCAGTTCCCATACAATCTGAAAGTAACCTGCATCAGCAGAGAAGAGGTTCTCTCTGAAGAGATTCCGCTTTCATATTCCGCAGAATATTCCTGTTCTCAATATTCTCCTATAAAATGGAAATAGCTAATTTCAGCATTATTTCCTAAATGCCAAGGGCTTCTAAAATATGAAAGATTTAGTCTCTAAATTATGAAAATAAGATGGGAACTCTTCACTGCTACTAACTTCAGAACAGCCCAAGCAGCCAAGTCAAGTGCCAAAGTGGCTACAGCGCAATCTACTCTTGCTAAAACGCAAAGGGTGAATCATCACATCACTCAATTTTTCTGACTAACCCTGTATTAGTCTTAAGGAAGCACTCCACTCTGGTCCATGACCTCTCCCTAATTGTGTTTGTGGAAGAAAAGATACTGGAGGGGCTGGTTTCTAGTCACGTAAAACATCATTGTGAATCTCCATACATTTGCTTGCTACTACGGAACCAATGAAGATTCATCTGGAAAGGAAGGAGCGTTAGAGGAAGAAAAAAATCCATCAGTATAATTCTGAGAAGAGTGAAAAAGGCAAACTTTAAGAGTTGGAAATGAGCTGGACTTAATTGAACAAAGATATTTTCAGATAGTTAAACAGCTCCAAAGAGTTGTTATCCCCCCAGCATCTAGAACAAAACACAGTTGGCCTTAATACCAGAGCCTCTCCCTAAGCTTTCAGAGTAGAAGCATTTCCGTCAGAGATGAGATGACATCATCTACCAGATGAGAAACTAAGAGGCAGTGTGTGACTGACTTCAATGTTTGAAGTACACATATAATTTGGGGACGCTGGAGGCCGGCCGGATGTGCATTCCTCAGACAACTGGAGTTTTGCCTGAACAGGTCATAGGAATGAAATTCCAGAGACCCAGCCCAATGACCTACCACCACTAACGCTACAGAAGTGTGTCAATAATTCCTACCCAGAGCACAAGAGACAGGCAGACTTTTTGGAAGGAAAATGGTAATTCTTAGGGGTTCTTGTTGCTATCTATGATTGAGAACCAAAGAGTAAAAAAAAATAAAAAAAATAAAATTTAAAAAAAAAAGCCACATAAAACCAAACAAAAACACAATCAGACCAGCTGTTTATCAGAAGCAATCTCTTTGTCCATAACCCCGCAGGAGGGAGGCACAAAAGAAAATACTCAGAAATAGGGCCTCCCTGGTGGTGCAAGGGGTTAAGCACCACACTATGAAGCTATCCGCAGCCTTTGCAGCATGAGTTCAATCCCCACCGGCCAGGGAGCAACCCACATGGCGCAGCAGACCTCTCCTGTCTCACCAGCTGCTCCCCTCAGCAGTGTAATTCATCAGTCTGCCTGTTTTGTTCCCCACTCTGTCTCTGGTGAATCCTCTCACCCCCTGCATTTCTGATCTGTACCCCAGCTCTTGTATGCATAAATAAATGTTAAAAAAAAAAAAAAAAAATACTCAGAAATATTTCTGAAATGCCAACCTGTCTCTTTAGAAGTTGCTGAGCACACAATTCTAAAATGTAGCATTAAAAAACAAAGGACCACTACTACACCTTAAGGACTAACCAACTCAATTAAGAAAGACAAGCCATATTCTGGAGAAAAGCTAAATTCGGTTTCCTAGCAAGTTTTTTTCTAAGGATAGTCTCAGAAAAAGAAAGGCAAGGATGCTCCTACAAACAAAAACTTGAAAGCAGTTTGATCTACCAGTCCTGAGGTCACCTCAGCTAAGAGCCAACTAAGTAGCATGGAATGAGCCAGAGACTGATTAAGACTCCTCTTGAGGGCCTCCCTAGTGGTGCAAGGGGTTAGGACGCAACCTATGAAGCTGCCCGCAGCCTCTGCAGCACAGGTTCGATCCCCGGCTGCTCCCCGGCCACCAGAGGAGGGTCCCACATGGCGCGCAGACCTCTCCTGCCGCCCGCTGCTTCCCCCAGCAGTGTCCTTCGGTCCTTCTGCCTGCTCTGCTCCCCGCTCTAGCTCTGGTGAATTCTCTCGCCCTCCCGCGCTTCTGACTGTACCCAGTGCTTGCATAAATAAATAAATCTTAAAAAAAAAATTTATATAAAAAAAAAAAGGTTGAATTAAAATATCTCTACATCTGGGCCTCCCCTGTGGTGCAGCGGTTGAGCACTGGGTTGCGAAGCTGCCCGCGGCCTCTGCGGCGCCGGTTCGATCCCCGGCTGCTCCCCAGCCACAGGAGGAGGGTCCCACATGGCGCGCAGACCTCTTCTGCCGCCCGCTGCTCCCCTCAGCAGTGTCCTTCGGTCCTTCTGCCTGCTCTGCTCCCCGCTCTGGCTCTGGTGAATTCTCTCACCCTCCTGCGCTTCTGACTGTACCCAGTGCATGTATAAACAAACAAACAAACAAACAAACAAACAAAAAAAAATGCCTCTATAAAAAAAAAATAGTTCTAAAAAAAAAAATCTCTACATCTCCCTGCAGTTTAAAAACTTAATGTATTAAATCTTTTTGAAGTCACTTCCCTCTATTTTTGATAAAGTTTGCTTCTAGGTCTAAAAGGCAAATTCTATGGTTCTCAGGACACACACACTACTATCTAAACTGTGATTGAAATTATGAAAAAAATAAATACAGGTTTTTCTTTACAAGACCCAAATCTCCTGGATAAGATAACAACAGTCAAGATATTTCTGGCAGATGGATACCTCCCAATTCTTTCTTTCTTAAAAATTTATTTTAAGATTTATTTATTTATTTATACAAGAACCTGGGTACAGGCCAGATGTGCTAGAGGGTGAGAGGATTCACCAGACACAGAGAGGGAAGCAGAACAGGCAGACTGATGAAATACACTGCTGAGGGGAGCAGCGGGCGAGGCAGGAGAGGTCTGCTTCACCATGTGGGATTCTCGCCAGC